GTTATGGGACTGGTGCTCCTTAACGGGGCTACTTGCTTAGCAAAGCAAATCAATGTTCTCTAAGTTTTAACCCATTATATTTGTGGGGAAGGTCCAGCCCAGGAATGGCATCTAATCAAGGGTGAAGGCTGAGGGTGGAGTTGGAAGGAGGAATGGTGTTAGGCTACTACACCATCATTTCTAAGAAATCCTATAAACAGCAATAACACACATATATGTCACCTAATAGAGTACACACGAATCAGATTGATTACATTTGTGAAAAGAGACTGTCAAGAAGTACATCAGCATTCAAAACAAGACTAATGTGTAGATGTGTAACAGATCATAAATTACTCAGATGAAAGTTCAAATTCAAGATGAAGATGATGAAAATAAATCCTTCAAAGTATGGCCTTTAGTCTAGCCTATCTTAATTAAAAATATATCTTAAGAATGGATTTAATGATCAAAGACTAGGTGAGTTGCCAACTGACATCAATGACATCACCCATGAAGAAAACAAAAGCTCATTAAAAGACAATAGAAAAAGAAAGGGTCAAAATTATATCTGAACAGACTCTTAAACTTGTTTTGAGCATGTTGTTGTTGTTGTTTTAGGTTTTGTCAAAATAACTGCAACAAATAGTGACCTGACGTATAACAGGTCAGAACCTTGTCCTATCCTGTGCCATCCTCATCGATTCTGATATACTTGATTGCATAGATACAGTTATTTTTTTCAGTTCATCATATGGAGAGTTTCTTCTCTTTTTCTGGCATTCTCTTTTTTAAATGACTGGCCTCTTTTGACAATGTGTCCAAAGATTATGAGATAAAGCTACACCATCCTTGCCTCAAAAGAGCATCCTGGTTGCACTTTCTATAAAATAGACATATTTTATTTTGTTCTTCTGGCAGTCTGTCGGATATTCAGCACTTTTTCATCATCACCAAAAAAGCAGCATGATGGGGTAAGAGAACTGGAGAGAAAATGTTAAAGAGCAACTCTAAAAGACATAGCAAAGTATTATAAGGAAATGTGCAAAGACCTAGAGTTTGAAAACTAAAAAAAGAGGAAC